TTCGACTCCCACTGAGGCAGCGGCATTTGCACAATTGGGTCAACTGAATTTCCACATTCGTCACTCTCATCTCTGATACTGCCGTTTGTTTCTCCATCTTGTGCTTACATCGGTATACCTATTTTATTCTTTCTTCTATTATGCAAGTGCCTTTGCGTTCGAAGATGCATACACTACGTACTAACTTGCCATAGTGACAGAAGAGATACTAAGAGTACAGGCAATCTTGCGTAGCTGAAAATGATTCGGCTTACTAGTGCACTTCATAGCGTTCCCCGTGTCTTTTCTGCTATACTCAGTTGACCCGTTTGTGGAAACCTCGGCGACCTCGTTAGGATTCGAACTTATGCCAGAAGGGAAAGCTTGAGTACGGCCAACGCTCTAGCCAACTGAGCTATCGAGGTCCCATCGCAGTTGTGAATTTGCCCAGCCTACTGCAACGTATGAAATCGACCTATGCTTACATAGTGGCTTCAGTTTTAGCCTGTCTTATTTAATTTCCGAGAGAAGAAGTGAGTGAACCGGGGCTGAATCCTTCGATATAGGTGTACGCAGGCTCGGTCCGAGGCTTGCTATGAATATTTGAGTTAAATTTATCAGCCACTGTTGTGCAACCGAGTAATATTCCAAAACTGCCAAAAGGGGACCCACTGATGAGCCGAGGCCCTCACAGTTCCGTCCGGCAGCGGCACAAGATCGGCAAAACACATCTGTTTAGGCTTTAACCTGTTACTTGTCCTGCCGGGATGGTAGATAACAACGTATTGTATACTGCTCTCAGCCTGCTGGCAGCTTTTGCATATTACGCGGTTCATCCACAGTAACTAATTGACTGCATTTCAAATATTCATATCAACTTGCGCACCGAGTCTGAAAGAGCCTTTCTTCCAAACGATTTACTCAATGTCCGCCCATTAGGTTCTTCAGAAATTAAGCTAGTCACTAGATGATGCAAATTATGTGCAAACCACTGGAAAATGTCAGGGTTCACCATCAGGAAGGACACATCAGGTTGGTTCCTCGTGCATAAAAAGCAAGCGAGGACTGCGTTCTTCCTGTACTCATTGTGCCTCTTGCCACCCTTGGTCTTTTGACATCAAGACTACAAGAACAAGCTTTGAAACATGAAAATCTGTTAAGTTTAATGATCACTGAAATATCCTGTTTGTCAAGACAGATGTTGAAGTATCAAAATTGGCACGTACTAGATATTTTCCTTTGTTAGACGCGGTGTAACCCTTGAACGTAGATCTAATACAACAGCAAGTCCTCTTCGCATAATGTTTGTTGTGCAGGCCCATTAAGATTGTTACTTGGTTTGCAAGTGATTTCACCTAAAAGGAACGCATGTTCATCGTACGAGTCGATAGGTGCAGGTGCGCTATCGCAAAAACCTGATTTATGGACACAAATTTGATTTTTTGTGGTTCAGTTACGTCTCAAAACACAATTTTGTCAGTTCTGGTTATGCTATTGGCCATAACCTGTCATAATAAAATAACTGTTTTTTATTATTATAAAAGATTAACTTTCTCAATTAAATTAAACAGAAACAGTGCTCTGTGAGTGGAGCTACTAAAGCGTGAAAAAGATGGACTACCTGGACATACGTCATAGTAGTAGCGAGTGGCGTCTCTTGAGCACCATATGCCACACAAGCATGCTCCTTGTTCCCGTATAACTTAAATCACTGAAGGTTTTCCCCGTCTTCCAACGCCGAAGAAGTATTATTGGGTTCACCACAGTTTATGCCCCCCGATGAAATCGATTTCGCGTAGAACCCATAGCGCCAGCTGCCAGCGGAAGACCAGGAGGAGACTATTGCGTGCATTGCCACTTTACTGCGCAGCGCCTTATGGCGTGCGTTTCAGTTCCGGCTTGGAACAACTTGTATATGCTGTCTGTCGTCTGCGTGTCCCGCCAGATGCTTCCCCCGTACGCATAGTTATATACAGTATGTTGTTTTCATGACCATCCATCATAGCCGTTACTACCCGCCCATCTGTCTCCCTCTGTGTGTAAACGATACTAGGAAAAGCCGGGTTGATGGGGGGGGGGAGG